ATCATTGCCTGGAAAGTCGCGGGAGAGTTGGTGAGACCAAAGAACATCACCAGGGGTTCGTACAGACCCCGGTTCGTTACGAAGGCCACCTTCCATTCATCACCGGCTTTGATCTGGACGTTATTGTATCCCCATCGAACATTGAACTTCATGAACAGCGTAGCGCCGCGGAGTTTGTCTACCATTTCGGCGATCAGCAGCAAGGGATAGCGATTTCTAACCGTGATCATGTTCAGCTGATGGTAGTCCTGCGTGGGTCGAAGCGTCCCTTCCTTCTTTTTGATGAAGAAGAAGGGGGACGAGATGGGCGACTTTGATTCCCATATGTAGCCCTTCGCTAGTTGTTCCTTCAGGAACTTGTCTAGTTCCTCCTGCTTGTTGTTTGATAGCGGGTATACCTTCGAATGGAATGTCCAGTAGCCGGGCACAAGTTCGATTGCATGATCATACAGTGTCACGACTTGGTATGGCATCTAGCTGTTTTTTAATTTTTTCCATTTTGCGGGCTCGAACCCACCACCTTTGTACTACATGCCTGATATGGATGCATTGCTATCTACTGTATGATTAGATTAGATGGGACAGCAGTGCACGGCACAGCTCGGGCTCCGCTGACACAGCCTCTCTGACTCACCAGCCCCCGGGGCCACGTCAGCATGCTGTGCACGGACCAGCTGTGCACGGACCAGTGTGCACAGCCTGCCCTCATCTTCCCCTGTATATAAGCCGGCCTCTGCTGCCCTAGGGACCTCAGTTTTGACCTCTTGTCCCTAGGTCAGTAAGCCTTCAGTTGTATTCCTTTTCCTTACCTAACTAATATATTATCTTGTCCCTAGCCTTAGGTTTGAGCGCTGCTCACCATCGCTTCGGTGAGACCCAGTCGAACGCCCCCAGCATTTAGGTTTCCCCTGTTGCTTGACCTCAAGTCGCGACATTAGGTTGAAACTCCCCAATGCTGCCGGTGTTCCAAAAACCACCACACTCACTTCCCTCTCCCACAGGTTGGGTGGTGCGCACCCTCACTATACTTTATGATACTTAGATAGCCTACCATACATTGCCAACACTCAAGAGATGAACTTTTCAGTACCTGCGCTTCAGTGAGCAGTACTTGTCCTCACGGATGCGTAGCCTTGGTTCCTACTGCATAATAGTCAAAAGCAGTATTGGGCCCCACGTGAACTGCAAATCTCAGTGTTATCTCGGGCGCCGTAGGTGTAAGCTAGTATAGCACGGCCTTTGTAGTACGCGCACCTCCCCGTCCTCCCCCCATCCACCATGGCTGCCTGTCAAGGCCAGGTTCACGCATTCAACTCTTGGGACCTTGTCGACGTCTACATCCCAGACAGTCCTGACACCCTTATCCTCACCTGCGAGCAGCAGCCGTGCCCCAACCGGACACCCCGATCAATTGAGCAGGATTACCCACAGTACAAGGCGATCAGAAGGGCCCAACACCCGCTCGGCCCCTGCAGCACCCTGGCCTCCCAATCCACCTCGCAACATTCTCGCCCTGTCTTCCCCAGCTCCCGCCTTCCCCAAACTGTTGCCGGTCCAAGTCAAGCGCAAGGAGATCTCCCTCCAGACCCTGAATCAGAGCCTGAGCTTGAGGAGGGTGCGAGTAAAGAAGGAATCTCGGAGCCCAAGTCCGCGGGTTCTGCTCGGCCCGCCTCGCCGACAGCGCTCACCTCCACGTCAGCAGTCCCTAACGTACGTGACCCCCCCCCCCACCAAACTTCCTCCGGCGCCTTCACCGCCGTCTCCGCCGAGAGGCCGCTCAAGCACTTGCTCCTCTCGAAGTTCAACCAGTGGAGGGCCACCACAGCCGCCTCCGCCCCACGCCGTCCTCTGTCCCCCACAGTGATGATAATGTCTTCTCCCGCAATTGCCCCCAATAAGGAGACCCTGAAGCTCCTTCTCCCCCTCTGTTATGACAGCAAAACTGTCATCGAGTGCAATCGGTTCCTGTCGCAGCTGCGCATCTATTGGCTAGTCAACACGTCATTGACAACCATCAAGCTCAAGGTGCAGGTTGCACTAAGCCTGCTTGACGGAGATGCCCACGCCTGGGCCACTCCCTACTTTGCCCAGCTCGTGTCAGTGCAGATAGGTGTGCAGGGGGCCACAATCCCATTCAGGAACGAAGCGGCCTTTGCTGCCGCCTTCAAGGCCCGCTTCAGCAATCTTGACGATGAGGCGGCAGCACAAGTAGAGCTGGCGAAGCTCTGCGCGTGTCACGACTTAGGGTCGAGCGACAGGGGAAACACAGACTAAAGGATGCTGGGGGCGTTCGACTGATTCTCACCGAAGCGATGGTGAGCAACGCTCAAACCTAAGGCTAGGGACAAGTTAATATATTAGTGAGGTAAGAAAAGAAATACAAAGGGTGCTTACTGACCTAGGGACAAGAGGTCAAAACTGAGGTCCCTAGGGCAGCAGAGGCCGGCTTATATATAGGGGAGGATAAGGGCAGGCTGTGCGCACTGGTCCGTGCGCAGCTGGTCCGTGCACAGCATGCTGACGCGGCCCCGGGGGCTGGTGAGTCAGAGAGGCTGTGTCAGCGGAGCCCGGGCTGTGCCGCGCACTGCCACCCCATCTAATCTAATCGTACAGTAGATATGATGTGTCCGTATCAGGCAAGTAGTACAGAGGTCGTGGGTTTGAGCCCGTGAAAAGGAAAAATTAAAAAATGGCTAGACGCCGTGTCAACTCGTGACATTACCCCCCCCTCAACGGCGCATGACCTCATGCGAGGCGCCCTTGCCCATCTCCCACCCGGAGCGGCCGCGTGCTTCAGTCAGTGGCGAAGGCACTGGCTGAAAGTTGAGACCACCAAATGTCGCAGTGTTGAGGCGATGAGGGGTGTTCGGATTCTTCCAGTGGAAGTCGGCTATGAGGGCCGGCGCATTGGCAACGTTGCGCGCCGGTTCCCATGACGTGTGTGAGTCGTCATAACCCTTCCACTTGATGAGGTACTGCAGCTGACGCCGGAAGATCCTCAAATCCTTGATCTGCTCAACCTCGTACTCCTCGTCGCCCTCAACCTCGATCGTAGGTGGCTCCTCTGGCTCCCAGCCCGGAATTTTGCTACGCATGTACTTGCTAAGCAAGGAGACATGGAACACCAGGTGCACTGGCACCGACTTCGGCAGAACCAATTTGTAATCCAAGTCTCCGAGCTTTTGCCACACGGCAT